AGACTCAGGAGACATTAAGATTTTTCTTATTAAGCTCACTCGAAGGTTCGAACATGAGACTTCTGGGTAGTTGTTATTCAGAGACCACGTGCTCTTGCCAACGGGGCGGCCACTTGTGGGCATGAACAAAGACTTTGATTAACTATACAATAGCATGCTTCCAACTTCCAAGAGTGCAGTAGAATTTCTTTCAAGTCCATTCCACTTACTTCAGGTTGGAATTTCACAGAAAAATGTAAAGGCTGACAAAGGAAAGGGATTCGGGTAAAAAAATAGAGTTTACTAAAGAATGAATAGGCCAGGCTCTAACTCTCCAACGTAATGGCCGAAAATTGTTTACTAATAGAGTAAACTAAGGAAAATACTTAGGAAAATACYTGACTCCTTGCTGGTAAGAACCAAATCTTTTCATCACCACTATTTGAAGAATAGAAAAATCATATTTTTTTAAAAAAAATCTCTGCTTTTGCTTTTCCCTCTCTTAATTGTCAACAATGGTAGTGAGAACAAGATTGATCCTCGGTGGYAAGGAGGCAAGTATTTTCCACAAACTGAAGTGAGAGGTATGCTTTTACTAAGAATTTTACTTCAGTGAGATGCTAATGTAACAGATTTCTATAGGATGGTTTTCTTCAAGTCGATTTTTCATTTCCTGCATCCAAAGGTCTGAATTCACAGAACTTGAAATCTCTAACAGAGAAAGTTATCCTAAACCAAATATTGCCAGATTGTCAGCATTAAAATCTAGTTCATGAATTATGTCGAAATGCAGATGAAAATATATCATATGATATAGGGGGCGCGAATTGAGGACAAAGCACCACAAGAATGACCTAATAAACAATAAACTGGGTGTAAAATAACACTCAAGAACAGGAACAATCACGAACATTGTGTTAAAGCGTTGGTGAAAATGGAAAATGGAAAATGGAAAATGGAGCATACATGGAAGAAGAGTATGTTGGATGGCAACTGGATGAGAATCGCCATAGCTCAAAAGGATTGGTTCCACCTCCGCGCTGCTTTAAATCGGTGATTTTGAATTTTTTTCGAACTCTGCCTCTATTGTGGTGTGGATGGACTTGTAGATATTTTGGCCCAAAATTACTTCCTTTTTGTACATCATGTTTGGGAAATAAAAAAAAATTGATTTAAAAAAAAATTAAAATCACTCAAAATGGTCTTCAAGTTTTGAAGGTATCACTTGATTTTGGAAAATCATTTTATTTAAACCTTTTTTCTCAAAACTACTAATTCTACTCACTATCAAATACACCTTCTAATGATAATTGATTTTGTAAAAATAATTTTTCTAATACTTATTTTAAAGTTTGGTTACACCTTTTTTCAAAGTGATTTTTATATAATTAAAAGTGAGTTTGAGAGAGCGAGACAAAAAAATTTACATATAAAAACAAACTTAGAAAAAAAATGAGAATTAACAATTTAGAGAGAAAAATTAGAGAGAATAATAAACAAAAATGAAAATAAATAAAAGTCAGAGAATGAGAAAGAGTTCTAGAAAAGAGAAGAAAATTTTCTCATATGGTGAAAATAAGGTGAAAGAAAGACAACTATTTTAAAAACTATTTCTTTTGTTAATTTTTTTGGGTCAAAAATTATGGGAAAATCACCCTCCAACTGTGTGCTTGTGCTTGGGAACCACTGTATTAGGGTGTATTTTGGAGTGATTTTGATCTTTTTATTGTCAAAATCACTTCCTTTTGTGTTTGGTTAAAAAAAAAAATGATTTTATGAAAATTTAGAATTTATAGGATGATTTTGAAAAATTAATTATACGTAAATTTCTTTTCTCAAAATCTTTTATTTTAGTGTCACTCCCAAATATGAATTCTTACCAATTCTATTTTACAATGGAATGAGTAAAAGATGCTAAAATCACTTGTACTTTAACTACTCAATCGTGCCATTATTATTAATAGAAAAGGCATCATTAAAAAAAAATCGGTTTATTTTGAGATTCAATATTTTTATTTTTTAATTTCTTTGACATTATTTCTATTTCTTAAAAATATATGGCTAACATCATGAATGATCACAGAAATAAATTGTTTTAAAAAAAGGGTCAAAAGTATTAGATATGCTAAAAATAGCTAACTAGTAGAATTATAAATTTTAGTTTGCATAAATATACCCTTAAACAAAATATCTTTAAAATTTGTTCCGCTAGTAGCAAAAGCCATGCACCAAATTAAAAAATACAGATAATATAGTAGTTATTTTCAAAGTAATCAAATTATATTTAAATTTTGATAATCTATATTTTGAAATAAAAAATTAAATACGAGTTGTACTAAAAAAAATTACATATGAGAATAATACGAGAATTTATTAAAGGATAAAGTTGGACTAAAAATTTATAGATTGGTATATTTAAATGCAGAATCTTTATGATAAAGAAACTGTAAATGTGGTTTTTGAACTTTATATTAACAATAAATAAATAAAACCTAAACTAAAAAAATGTAGGAAAAGGAAGGACAGCGGGGTTTAATTTAAATAGAGAGGTTGTGAATAAGTTTATTGAAACTGAGAAATTAATTTCAGAATTAACTGATTTCAAATTAAAATTTATCGTGTGCTGTAAATTCTCTAATCTAATCAAATCAAATCAACATAATAAATTACAAATTGAAAATTTTCATATATATTGTAAAAATATATAAATATCTCAATTTAAATAAGAAAAATTAAAGTCGAATTGTTTCAAATCTTTAAAAAAAAAAATTACTTTCTAAATAGGACTTACATTCCAATTAAAAAAAATAAAAATAAAAACAAAACACAACAATCAAAACATTAATTTTGATGCATTTGAAATATTTGAAGATGGTTTGAGTGGTGACGTCTAATTTTTCTTCAGGTTAAATTTGATATCCTATCATTTTAAAATTAAAATTCCACTAAATCCGAACAGATTTTAAATGAGATATGATTTTAAAGTGTGAATTTTAGATTTCAACAAACAACAATTTGAAATCCATCTTGAAGGTAAATCTTGAAATAAGACCTCGGTTTGCTCTTTCTTTGTGCCCCTATTTGGAGTTTTGTTGGAACATCAAAGGAGTTTTTGCAGAGGGTGTTTTTGATCAGGTATGTATTTTCATTTACAAACAAATGCTCAAGAGAGTTTTATCGAGATCGAATAGAATGTCGTCTATTTTCTTGACATCTTTTGTGCAAGGCAAATGCACCATCTATTATTGTTTCTTTTTAATAACTCGAAATCGATGCCGTGGATCCCTATAATTCATAACTGATGTAGGTCTTCGAATGGGGAAAATCCCAACTACGCTTCCCGTGGGGCTTGTATCCCTATTCGGTCACAAACCCACTCGGCTACCCCTGTTAGTGGTCTACATCCAAACGATGGTTCATTTATAATAAAATATTTTTTTAATATTCCAAACCCTTTACAATGTTTTGCGAATTTTGTTAGAGATACCAGTAACTTGGGGTTTGGGGTTTTGCGTTTTTGTGTAGATATGGTAAAGGTGAAAGTAGAATCGAGTCGAAGAATAGCAAACGAGATGTTGATGTAACACCTTCTAAACGTTGTTTCATTGGACAGTGAGGAAGAGGTATAACTTAATCTTCCTTTCAATAGTTCATTTACATATTATCTGATTGGAGTATGTATAGAGTTCGGATTAATGTGTCAATGGAGAGATGCAACACCAATGATGAAAAAAAGGAGAGTGGATTCAAGTAAGGGCAAGGAGTGTAAGAATGAACTTGAAAATAAGGTGAGAAATCATCTAGATCTTGGCACCTTTGATTAAAAGGTCAATTGAAGTGTATGTTGCAGGGTAAAAAGAAGGGTCTAAAGATAGGTGAGGAGAAACATGATGATAGCGAGGTAAGTATAATATATATACACATACACAATGTATCTTTCTAATATTTGTACTTTGTGAAATGATGCTTCAATCGGTGAAGAACTAAATGATGAGTCTACAAAAATCTTAGTTTTAAAATTTAATGTATAATGGACTTTCCTGTCTAATCCTCAGGTCTTTGTTAAGAAGGAGGTTGCAAATAAGAATACTAAAACGAGGAAGGACAAACGAGGAAAGAGAGATCCAAAATCTAGTAGATGATGACGCCCAGCTATTTTTTATTTAATTTATTTAGGTATGCACACAATATATATCCATAGTTACATAGTGCAAAGTAGTTTTTTTTTTTTTCAGATGAAGAGATCAAGGAGGGCCCAAGCACTTAAGATAAATCATTGTTGTAAATATGGAGTTATGAAGAGCATTCGAGCAAATTTAGGGGAAAATTATAGTGATATGTTTAGGCCGACATGTTTTGGTCACTTTTTAGATTTTTCGACCAACAAAACATCATCCCAGTTACTTTTGCATTTAATCCAGAGGCAAGGCATCGGGGTTGAACTTTAATATTGGAGGAAAGGTGATAAGATTTGGAATTAAAGAGTTTGCCATGGTGACAGTGCTAAATTGTGGACATTTACCACTCTTAGACATGGACAAAGTGAAGGGGAAGGCCAAGAAGTTTGGGACAAGGAAATACCTCAATTTTGCCTTTAAGGTAAGTAGATATGCACAAGAAGACGACATGGTGAAGATGGCGCTTTTGTATTGTTTGGAAAATTTTCTTCTCTCACACCAAGACTCCGTACATATTGAAATGGGACATATCATTACGGTGGATGATAAGGAACTATTCAACAACTATCCTTGGGGTAGAGTAGCATTTAACTTGCTCATACATTATATGAAAAAGGCAACTGCGGGAATAGGAATGGGCGGGTTCATATATGCATGATTAGTATGGGCATATGAAGTTATACTTGCTTTAAGTACATCACCAAATTTGTATGCACAACGTATTGGACATGGCATTCCTAGGATTTTGAATTGGGAGGCAGATTTACAACCTGAATGGCGAGAACTAGCTGCAAAATCACTTAGTTTGTTTTTCCTTAGCGTTTTTAAACATAAATTAGATTGTTATGGTGTATATACTAATAAATATATTGATTGTGTAGTTGGAAGTGGTCCCAATGCAACCAACAGATGAAGAGTTGGCAATGTCATATCTAGCACCATTCATGCAAGATGAATTAATATCGCAAGTGGAGAAGGAGAAGGTTAATTGAACAACGACAGAGTGAACCAAAGGTGCATGGATGTGAGATTGAAAGCCATGGAGGTTTGTTTGTTAGTCAGCCACAATAAATGAAAGAATTGAGTTGATTGAGAAAAAGCAAGAAGGAACGTTAAATAAAATGGATGACATAACAACACTGAATTTACTGATTGATTATATGAAAACTAATGTCAATAAGGAGGAGGAACAAACTAGGTTCGTGATGAGGGAAGATGTAGTGCCAATTGGTCAAGTCGAGGCGGATTATAGAAGTATTTATAAGGTAGATATAATTAGTTACACACCCTTATTTTTAATGTTGATGTGCTAATATATAATATTTGGAACTTGATATATTGCAGGGAGCATCATCTTTTAGAAAGGAATCGAGGGAAGGAAATCAAGAGAGAGATTATGTAATAATACATGCTTAAATTTGTGAATTTGTTTTGGTAGAAAATCCATTCCTACTTTTCCTTTAGAGGGGCAATCTTGTAAATCAAAACAGATTTTTAAAGTGGTTTTTAGGGAGAAAAACGGAAAAAGTTCAGTTTTTACTTAGCACTTTTACAAATTCATTAGATAATTTCAACTATTTTTTTATTTTTTTATATATTAGATTCGTAATTGATTCTCCAAATTAAAAATTTGAATATATTTTTTTAATTTGTAATTGATTCCTCAAATTAAAAAGTTTTTTTTAATTGATTTTTCACTTAAAAAGTTAAAATTTTCTCCAATTTAAATTAAAGGAGAGTGTGAGGTTTAAGATGAAAGATTGGTGGAGGGAACTAAGACGATAGAGAATTTTGCTTTTCGAAAAATGTAGAATTTTGTTGTCCTAAAAAATAATTGTGGCAATAATCAATATGTTGACCACGTTAAATTTTGTATAAATAAGAGAGAGAAATACCAAAAAATTGGCTAAGTG